CCAGCCGTACGCGTTCTTCAGCCGCTGCGAGTTCGCCGCCGCGCTCTGCGGGCTGTCGTGCATCACGCAGAAGACGGATTTGCTGGACAATCCGAATTCGGAGAGGACGGCGTACAACTTCTCCCCTAAATTGCTCTCCGCTTTGTCTTCGGGGGCCTGCTGCGTCTCCATCGCGCACCGTGCCCGCCGCCACTCCCCGTCGATGAAGTTGGCGGTGATGGTCAGGTAGGTCTGGCTGAGCTGGGAAGCCCAGAACTCCACACAGAGCACGATGGCCTGAGCCGCCTGCAGGTAACGCTCCAGGTGCTGTTTGACCACGTTGTACCTGTGCCACAGCATGCTGGAGAGCTGCACGGGCGACGGGAGGGCGAAATTCGGCTCCAGGTACCCGATGAGAAGCCCAAACCCTTTGTCCTTCACCATGGAGAGAGGATGCAAGTCACGGAAGATCATCTCCAACACCAGCTCCAGGATCACGTCGCTCCTTGGTTCCGAGCAGGACGCGACGTGGTAGATTCCGCTTTCCGGTGTCATCTGCCGGGAACGTTTCACGGCGTTTTCCTGAGCCGCGTAGTCAGATTCAGAAACCTGATCGTCCTTGAGTTGGGAGAGCAAGGTGTCGCGGATGCTGTGCTTCCTCACCAGGTGCTCCCTCATGGTGGTGGTGCTGTTGTGGAAGGAGAGCTGCTTCTTGCAGACGTTGCACTCCACGTAGGCGTCTCCCAACTTGGTGTAATAATTCCACACCTTGGACTTGCGACGGTCGACGTAAAGCGCCGTGCTCGTGCCCTCCTGACTGCCGCCTTTTTCTCTCTTCCGCCGGGCCGATGGCCCGAGGTTGGTTGTTGCCACGTTGTAGGTGTTGAAGACCATCGGTATTTCCTCTGAGGAGGCAAACGCAACGCAACGTAGCCTCAAATTTGAATTTAAACCTCCCTCGTTAGTCCCGCGCGTTAGCCTAAACCAGCGGCAGCCGCTGGTAGGGAGAACCCGGTTCAGATTGTGCTTGT